CCATCCATCCATCCATCCATCCATCCATCCATCCATCCATCCATCATCTTTACTTGCTTCTTCCTTTTTGAGTTGCAGTTGTCACTGATGTCCATATCCAGCAGTCACTGTGCGAGAGGTGAGGTACACCCTGGACAAGTCTCCAGTCCATCACAGGGACACAGAGACAAAGGAGATAAACAACCATTCACTCTCTCACTCACACCTAGGGACAATTTAGAGTTACCAATCAGCCTAGCATGCATGTTTTTGGTCTGTGGGAGGAAACCGGAGTACCCGGAGAAAACCCACGCATGAACAGAGAGAAAGAGGCAACAGCTCTACCAACTGTGCCACTGTACCACACACTTATCTTTTTCATTCATCGAGTAGAGTAGTCCTTTTGCGGACTCGCTGTTTCGTGGTTTTTCAACATAAGATTGTACACAACACACGATTGTCAACTTTAATATTACTCACATGATTGGGACGGTATGGGGAAAGTTAACCAAAAAAATAAATAAAACTTCGGACAGGTGCTACACACATCAAAAGAACTACACTACCCAGAAGCCAACAGTGATTTCAGCCGCTGCTTTCTGCCTAAATGGAGGGAAAGTTTTGCAACGCAAAGTCAGAAGTAACAAAATATTTAAGCTCACAGAACTGGCAGGGAAGTCACAAATAATCATGAAGTTTCCTGAAGCTCATTGCGCACATCAACTTGGACTGGGCGGTGGATTTTGACGCTGCAGGGTAGGTCTGCCGAACCAGAACCAAGCCCGACCGGAACCAAGCTGCTGTGTTGCAGAGCTGGTGAGTAAAATTTTGCAGTACTGTACAGTACACATACATATGTTGTCAAAACTATGTAGGTTTAAGAGTTTTTAGAACATTATAAAGAACATTGCAAGAGTGTGGGGAGGGTTTATAAAGCCTTAAAATATATATATAAATGCTAAAACAAATATTGCATTCCTACTGTACTTCGCGGTTTTTCACCTGTTGCGGTGGTGTCTGGAACGTAACCCCCACTATAATCGAGGGACTACTGTATGTTTTTTATTTTAACACAATAAAAATTTTGAGCACAATCTTTAATTGCTCTTCAATTACTCTTTAATTACTCTTTAAATACTCTTTGTCTCAGCTTTAAATCTCATGTTTAAGGATGTGATAAAGATGTGGTATTTTGGTGCATCTTTCCTG